TTATGTCCATTGTTGTGTTCATCAGTACACAACTGAAACCGATTTAGAGAGTTTGTTTAGCCGTGGAGGGTAACAACTGAAAATATGAAATGTAAGCTAAGACTAAAAAATCAGCATTGCTGTTCGGCTTTTTATTTATCCATTTGTTGATTCACTCGAAGAGCAAGTAACGCAACCAAGTGATCAGTTTGATATCAATCTTTTGTGATACACCGTCATATTTACATTATTAGTTCAGTACGAATGATTTGCTTTGGTACCTGGTCAAACTTAAGCTCTCCTCTGTCTGCAGCAAATTCGCAGGCAGCAGCTTCTCCCCCCTCGCTCACATGGGTGCTGTGCTCAGTCGCCTAGTGCCTGGGCTCGGATCATACCAAAATTAGGGGGAATTTACGACGGTGCGCTCTGTGCTTCGTGTGTTGTTTTTGGGCTTAAGCCCAGTAAGCCACCCCCCCCACTCCGCTGATGGTTGACTCCAAATCTCCCGAACACTTTGTCGATTTGAGAACGCAAGACCGAAACAGCGAGACCAAGACCGAGACCAAGACAAAAGTCCGCCGAGACCAAGACAAAAGTCCGTCGAGACCAAGACAAGACCAAGACAAAAGTCCGTCGAGACCAAGACAAAAGTCCGTCGAGACCAAGACGAGACCAAGACCACGTAAAAGTGGTCTCGAGACCAAGACCAGTCTCGAGACATCCAACTCTACCAGCAACCATGCCACACTCAAAGTCACTTAAATCACCTTCCTCCCCCATTCTGATGCTTATCATATCTGCAAGAAAAACAATGCACTAAGTTGCTGCCATGTGGCTGATTAGAGGTTTGAACTAACAAGCAGTTGAACAGGTGTACCTAACAAAGTGGCCAGTGAGTGCATGTGGAAAATCTCCAGAAAAGTAGAATTAAGTTACATTGCTTACACAAGTTACTATGGTAGATGGGACAAGAAACTATAAAGGGCTTAGTTTTGGTTCAGTATTACACAACTGTAACCAGATAAGTAACAAAACTTCACAATATCTGCAGTATTATGTTACCTTTGACCTTTTGCTTTGTTCCACTTTGTTTTTTTGAGAAACACAATGCAGCATTTTTTATACTAACCACACACACACACACACACACACACACAAACACACAGCATTGAGAGTTGAAATGTTATACAGAATAAAGAGTGGGATGTTAACATGAGCTTCACATGGACCAATAGCTACTGGGAAACCCCACCTAGAACTGTTCTGAGAGCAGGCTCTTTGAAAAATTCAGTCTTATTAATGACAACGTAAACAAAAGAGGTGGCGGAAAAGATGCTGCCATGTGTCTGACATCTTTGCTTGCTTCGGCACCGTTAGTGAAACACAGATCTAAGACTTAATGATTTTATTATATTACTAATTTCCAAGTTATTATTCATAGCGGATTGTTTATTGTCGGACCAGCCATATACATGATCTTCTGACCTGTAAATATAAACACAGCCACTTCTTCTCAATTGTCCCACCAATCACACTTGAAGCCTTTCTATTTAATTAACAAGGACCTCCATTATTCCACTGGGCCCTGTGGTTGTAGGACGCATCGCCTTGCGCTGACAGCCTGCCAGCTTCGAGGGGGCTATGTTCACAGCCATGGAAGCTAATGCAGGAATGTGTCCATGTGACAGGCTCCAGACCATTTAGTCTAGTTTTTAACAACACCACCAACCTCGCCACGCACACATGCCTCTGTTTAAAGTGCTGTGAAGCCAAGCAGCTTGTTAATCATTCAGTGGCTGAATCCAAGAAGTGAGGGGGGATCTCTTTGAAGAGAAACCTTTCCTCTCTGATGGTACTAAGTAGCTGATTGTTCTTGTATTGCAGAAAAGTTCTTAGTCTTATTCTTTTAAAAATATTACCCCCATTGCCTTCACCCATTTGTTCAGCTTTCTGCTCACTCTCCCTAAAGTCCCTCCCTGCAGACCATCATGCCCCCACCTCACTCCACGAGCAAAGCCACTACAATGGGCCAGTGTGCAAGTGTGAGAGACACTGATGTCACATTGAAAGCATTCAGATTCACCCTCATGAAATAAGAACAATATTTGTTTAGTTAGGGCCATGCAGCAGTTTCATGCAGCCCTGCTGGGAAGAGAATTTGCAAGATGAGGACACATAATTTCACCCGCTTGTTATGAGAATAGGGGGGGAAAAGCGCCAGTCTGGCGCGAGTTGGAGTGGAAACTTTAGAGAATATGACATTTTAGGAATGAAATGGAACAGCTGGAGTTTTTTTTCTATTGGCAGCTATTTTAAAATTTGAAGGCTACCACAAGAGAGGGGGAAATTACTGTAAAACACTTTTTCAGCTTCAGAAAGGAACTCTCTTGTCAAAACCTCTATTGTATATTGCTCACTTTCAGAATTGGTCATAATCATAATATGCAGCATGAAATATGAATGCTTGGATTCATTGCTAACATGTAATTTTGTATAAGCACCATAAACCCAAAATCTCAGTCATTTGTTATGAATCGGAGTTAATCCACAGTTACATAATAGCTTGGATCAGTCATAGAAGATTTTCCTAATTGCTCTTTTGGGTTTTCCTCTCTACCTGCAGCAACTGGAGCCTCGAAGGCAAAGGTAAATGAAAAAAAAACAGGTCTAGGCAAGATCTAACATCAGAAGCATCAGCCAGCAACAGTGATGACTGGGGTCAGACCCACCTACCTGTTCTGTGAAGAGAAAAGAGATAAGTGCTAAGAATTGTGTGATTCATCTTTCAAAAGAGAAGATTGATGGCCGTGTAACTTGAGACGTGAGGTCAAAAGGTGACACATGCCTGTATGGATCTTTCAGTCAGGGCTATTATCATTTGGAACTTGGGTGCTGGCGGTTAATAAAGCAGTTCACAGTCATAAAGCATTTCTCAAGCATGTATGTATTGGAAGGTCAAACTCCGCCAAAAACATAACTATAAAATTAAAAAGATATACAAATAACAGATCTTTTTCACTAGCAACTGACAGTCCTTAACTTTTACTTATAGACTGCCTTACCTGTTAATTCTGCTGAGGACAGCAAAGAAAAGAAGTAAAGAAAGTTCTGAAATAATATATATATATATATATATATATATATATATATATAAACATGTTTTTACTCACCTCAATCCATCTCTGCGCCTCCGAGTAGGCTTCCTCGCAGCTGACTGAAGACTGCTCACGCCACTCCATCATAAGAACTTATTATCCGAGCTTCACCGGCGGGTAAAGTCCTAGCAGCCCGCATATAAAAGGTCCACATAAATGTGAGCCAGCTCAAGCAAGCAAACTCGATCAACCTACATAAAAGTGCACACAGGAGAACTCTCAGTCATTCATCAAATATGCCTCCTATTGTTCTTTCCCACCTGCTCATCCGTAAATGAATGCAAGGTGTAACAGTGTGCATCATCTTGCGGCTGCTTACCTTTTCTTTCATCCGACACACCTGTGCTTTGTGTCCTTTTGGCAGCGGGTTTACACACTCCACCTTTTTTACGCAGCGATTGAGTGTTTGAAGACGCACTGAGCTCACCTCTTGCAGCACTCACACGAAAGACAGTTTTTCACCTCAAGTTTTAGAGCTGCATGAGTTAGAGTCTGCAGCGGGAGTGTCTCCAAACCCGGGTCCGGGGACCACCCACAGGTCCTTGAGCGGATTCCAGTTGAAACACACGGTTGAATTCGCTGTTAGCCCCCCCCCCAGAAAGGTATTTGGACTCCTGGTTTGGGCCAGATGCACGTTAGTGTAAGTGTATACTGAGGTAAGCCACTAAATTCTGTCGGACTACAAATATCCTGAAAGAAAATGTGAGGTCGGTTGACGTCTGGTCTCCAAACACAAAAATGTTGCGGAAAAAAACCTTTGAGTCTATGGATAAAACTTATGTAATTGCAGGAGTTCGGCGCTACCTTTAAAATAACGTTCTTTTCCTGCACCACCGCCAAGCGGTGATTAAGGGGTATTCCAAGACCTGAGCACATGCTTTACTCGAGGGTTTCAAACTTCATTGCGAAACAACAGCATGCCGATCCATTAAAATGAGTGGGATTTGGTTTGCAACTTTTAGAACAACTTACTGATTACATTTCAATCAACTGGGCTTTTTTGTTTTTGGAACTTGTAGGGAGGAGGCTATGTGCTACAACATTATCTGCAGTTCTGTGAAAAATGAAGCATGAGTCAGTAGCTTGTAGAACCACCTTTAGTAGCAATAATTTGATGTGATCAGTTTCTGTATAATTCATTGGAGTTTTCCCCACTCTCCTTTACAACCATGTAGAATATTTGGTATAAAAGAAATTTCATGGTCAATTCAATGACTTGGAAAATACCAGGTCCTATAGCAAAACAAGTCCTCCATCACCGTGCTGACAGTTTGTATGAGGCATCTGCCGATGTGCTGTTTGGTTTTCAAGAAATATCGGGTTATTTTGGTCTCATATGTCCAAAAAACACTGTTTTTGGACAAGTCTTGTGTTTTGTTCAGGTGTAAATCATTCTGCCATGCTCATTTTAGAGATATGAGACATCCTTATCTCCTGGAAACCCTTTCAAGCAACCAATATTTGTTCAGTCTTTTTTTAATCATACTGTCACAGTTAAACATATAGGTAGTGGGTTTATTGCATTTTCTCTAAGCATTGCACAGCCTAACCTTGAGGTGAATTTGCTGGGATGTCCACTTCTGGGAAGATTGTGGTATTGTGTTAACACATACCTAAATTCTCCAGACCAGCAAACTGCCAAAACTTCTGCATTTATAAAGACACTCACTCTTTCTAATAATAAATGAATAAGTGCATTTGATTAGCAGCACCTGGCTTCTATGTACCCTTTTGTCCCCTATGGAAGTTTTAAGTGGTTACTTTGCTTTTCAATGGACTTTATGGAGTCCTGTAAAAACTTTTTTCAGGATGAAGGTAAAAAGCTAATGGTTTTGCAACAGGAAAAAGTATCCACAAAAGAAGAGCTTAATAAATTTTTCATTTATTTGACATATTTCTTATTACAAAAATCTAGGCATCTTCCACAGATTTACAGCTGTATAGTCTGCGTGTTTAGTGAGCCTCACTTCAACATCATTACTGCATCCAACAACATTAGGCCTATTTTCCCCCCTCAAAGCTATGAATGAAATAGCTTGCAAATGTGTTTCTTCAGCTTGTGTTGAGCATGTGATTAGACATCTCATTTAAAACAAATCACTACATACAGTATGTGTCATTGAAGTCTGAGTAAAAAACTTTCCTCAGTGATGTAGAAATTTTTAACATTTCCTTCTTCACTAAAAGGCCAAAAATTAAGTAAACAAACCGTAGTGCAATGTCGAGACCATACAGCTAATACCTGTATGACATTTAGAGATGTCAGCAGAGGCGAGCTGGAAAATTCAGATCTCAGTGAGAAATACCTTTATTGACAAGCAGCACTCTGTTTGCTTTAGAATTAATTTAACAACTATGTAGAACACAAGGGGAAATTACTTTACAAGGATATCCCTGACATTTTATTTTCTTCACACATCGACTTTCTATAGCATTTTGAAAGAAAAATTAAATAAAGTCAGCACTTCAGAATGTTTGGCAGTAATGTTGTCTTTGTTTTCTAGGGTCAGAGAAAAACAGAGTAGTTTCCTCAGTATGAATCTTTGGAGAGGGCAATGATGGTGAAACGAACCTCCTGAGGGTCGCGAGCCATAAAGACTTTGCAAACCTCTATAGCATCCTAGAAAAAGGAAGACAATGATTGAATGTAGGCAAGCTTATGGCAGTATTATTAAGACCATCTCAGTTTTATTTGGTTGTCTCACCTCAAGGAAAGTATCCTCTGAGGTTTTTCCATGGGCAATAGGGAAAGGCTTACGGCCATCTAGGTATTGGAAGAAAAAGTTAATCATGTAGGTTTAACAAAAATGTGCTTCCAGTCTTCTAGTACTAAATGTTGTAATGATTGTAATGACCATCAACAATGTGACAAATTCTACCAAATATTTTCTATAAGCGCACTTTTGCTTTGCGGCTAACTCACCCAGTTCATATAAGTGCCCTCCAACATTCACAAAAGCTATAAAATGCAGATTCACTTTCTCGTCTAAACTTGGGGCCTACAACAGACAAGACGCAAATGTTAAAGTGCATTAAGTTCAACACAAAGCATGCAAAAAAAAAACTTGAGACAACACAGAGTTAAAAATCAAAAAGACACCTCAGTCTGTCCTTCCTGCGCACTGGATTCATGTGTAACACGTATACTCTGGAAGAGAAAACAGGAAAACAGGCTGAATGTTTCCTCTGTTGTATATTTCAGGGTCATTTGAATGATGAACATTTTTGCATTGATCTTGTTACGGTTTCCTTTTTCCTGGTTTGTGAAATAATTTTTTATGACTTTGTACTATTACATTGCAAAAGCGGTAGCAAGCACAAGTATGACAATGCCCTCTTGTGACAAGTTGGTTACACAATTCTTAGTACTGTCCTTCACACGTGATGAAAACTTTGTCACCCTGTTCTTAATAAAGATACTTTTCCAACCTCGTCTTTTTCCAGGAAGGTTGCCCTTTCCTCCGGGGTCATTTTAGATGTTTGTTCAAGAAATTTCTTAAGAGGAGAATCAGGTTCTGAAAGAAAGAAAAACACTTAATAGAACCTAGAGAAAAAAAACTGACCTAAAGCAAACACAAAATTAGATTTATACTCAGTGACGTCTTTATTAGGTACACCTGTATAATGGAGTGAAATGAGATAATGAGAGAAGTCAACTTCAACATGCCCATAAACTCAACAACCACTCTGATACGCACGGCTGTTCAATTGCTCATTAACACAAATATTTAAGCAGCAACTCAGTGCATTTCACCATGCAGACATGGTCAGGACAACCTGCTGAAGTTCAAACAACGCATCAGAACAAATGTGACATGGCTGCTGTTGAGGTTTTCACAGACTGCTGATCTATTAGGATTTTCAAAGAAAACCATCTCTAGGGTTTACAGAGATCACATGGTAAGGTCCGAATTTGTTGTAAACAACATAAGAGAATGGATCCATCCAAGCTGGTGATGTAATGGTGTGGGTGATATAACCTTGGCACTCTTTGGGCCCCTTTGTACCAACTATGTATCATTTAAACACCACAGCTACCTGAGTATTGTTGCTAACCATGCCCATCCCTTAATGACTACAGTGTGCCCATCTTCTGATTGCTGCTTTCAGCAGGATAACAGACCATGTCACGAGGCTCAAATCATCAAACATGTCAATGAATTAACTGTACTCAAATGACATCAATGACAATGACATCACAGTCACCAGGTCTCAATCTGATAGTGAACATTTAGAACGGGAGACTTGTTTAATGGATATACCATTGACAAATGTGCAACAACTGTTTGATGCCATCATGTCAACATGGATCAAAATAGCTGAGGAATGTTTCCAGCAACTTTTTGAATCTGTGCTATAAAGAATTAAGTCATTTCCAAAGGCAAAATGGATCCAATCTGGCACTAGCAAGATACCTAATAAAGTAGCTGCTGAATGGATTTTGACACTGACATACAGGTGTATAAGTTGTTATAAGTTTTGTACCAAGGTCATTTGGTTTATTATTTGGGCACGCTGCATAGTGTTGATGGTGTTTCTAATATTCTGCCACTCTTATGCATGTAACAGGCACCTAGCAACACCAACTTCACTGATATACACGCATAGGGTCTTGCACATTAGTTCATCAAAAACCAAACAAGATAGATGGCTATAGAAAAAAAAATAACTGTTTAAATAAAGCTAAATGATCATTAAAGTAACCTCAATAAAAAATATAATGAAAACTCACCAAATTCCAGATGTGCCTGGTTGTTTGCCACAGCGTGAATTAATCCTATTGTTCCACAAGCGTTTCCAATAGTTTGCTTAATGAAGTAGACGTCTGGAGAAACCTGAGGCTGATCTTTGAGCTTCTCCTCCTCTTCTTGTTTAAATGCCTCATACTAGAAAGACATGACAGATGAGAGAAAATCTGTTTAACAGTGTTTCCTAACCAGATGTAAAGTTGACATATGGATAATGAAAATACGTGACTTATAAATAACAGGTACCTTCTCTGTCACTGGAAAGAGGAGTAGCACCGCACACACTGGTCTTGGTACCATGCTAAGAAGCTCCGGATCCAATCCATACACATCCCCAAACTGCCAGGTTGGCTTCATACCCAGACAGCTAACAAACTACACACAAGCGGAGTGCAAATGCATGCAGATCAAAATAAACTTAGACATTTTAAATCTAAAATAAATACAATAGCTGGCTCCTAATTACCATCTGAAAATTAGATTTCTACCTAAAAGGTGAGGATATGTTTCTGTAACATTCGACTTTTGACAATTCAATGTAATTTAACTGGTATAGAATTAAATATTATGCCACTGTATGTCAGGAATTTAAACTTGAAAACTAAAACTGTTAATAGAAAAGCAAAATAATAAGAAGCACTTTTTACAGTAACACCGTTTTCAGGAAAGTATTTTTTGACACTTTGTGGAGAAAATACAAATTTCCTTCATTATTTATTTCAACCAAACACTCAATTGCTAAATGACGCCTTCGGCAGCTAAAACAGTCAGTCAATCAGTCTATCAGCAAAAAACTAAAATAAAAAGTGATAAATAAAAAAAGAGCTGCCTTCATGAAGTGTATAATGTTTAATATTTGGTGAAAAATTATTTAGAAGGATGATGATTCGTGCTTGGAGGATGCAGTTGCGATTCTGTTTGATGTTTGTATTAAACAAGTAAACAAGTGTAAAAAAAATTTAAAAATAGTTTTTTGGTTACCCCCCCAAACAAACAAACAAACAAACTACAGTATCCTACAATATCAGAGTTCACTAAAAATCTCGACTACAAACCGGTAATCATCTGCGTCTATGCGGCCAAAATTTTATTTATTTTCAAATTTACGCCTACTTTTGAGTAGTTACACACTTGAACGACATTAATTAATCTGTATCAATAAAACACTATTTAATTTATGCTACATAATACTCTTAGCTGTAGGAACCTGTGCAATAAAGTGTAACGTAATCATCTAGTGTGCGTCCTGCGAATGACATCAAACACACCGCACTATCTGCAGACTGAAACAGCTGGAAAGTTGGATGAAAAGTATGAGGAAAATGACTGAACGTCTTAAAATTAGAAGCAGGGCAAGTTGAAAAAACTTTAAATTTATCAGATTTCTTCACTCTTGTTTCCTGTCAGTCTGTTTACATAACATTATTACATCATATTATGCCTTGAACCTTTTAACAATAACATTAGGTGCAACACCGCTGCTGAGTAGGCCTTGCATCTCTCCGAACCGGTTTGATTATTTGCTTTGACTACTCTATCGTGTTTTACGGAAAATATAAAAAGAAAACACTTACTTTAGTCATGACCTGAAATGAGAAGACACAAATGGAAAACGTTAATGAAAATATTGTTGGGTTAGCAAAGCGGCGACAACGGCTTTAGCTTTTGTTCTCTCTGATAGCTTCAAGTTAGCTGCCTCTCACATGTTTGAGAATGAATAACTTCGATAAAACAACGTGTTCTGAAGGAAACCAGGAAAACATACTTCTGGGTTTGACTCAAGAGGCAGCCAACGTGGGGAATCCATTTTGAAGCACAGCTAAGTGATGTTTTCCCGTTAGAGTAGCGCTGAGTCCGATTTACAATCAAATCTGTTTGACAGCTGCGATTCGCTTCCGCGTCTGGAGGGCGCACGTTGACATGTATGTGATCCGCGGGGGTGACTTGACTTTATCAATAAACCATAACTACCCAAAGAAAATGCCCAAAAGACTTGATAAGGCATGCAACATATATGGATGCATTAACATGTTTATTATAAATCGTTTAAATATGATTCTGTATACACAAAATGAACATTAAATTATGGTAATCCCACCATCTTCAGCCTCGGTGGTCTATTCCAGGGCTATGGGCGGAGCTTAGATAAAGGCATTTTTGCACTCATGGATGGACGATGTTTAAGTATATTCCCCGATATACCATCTAACTGACATAATATGACTCTGGTCATTGTTTTTCTTAATGATCTAACCACCATAATAATATTAATAAAAATAATGAACAACAAGAACCACACTCAATTAAATTATTTCATTTTTAAATTATTAATCTAAGTGTTATTTTTACCAGTAGGGGGCGTTGTTGGCCATAAATTCAATCGCTAAAGAAAACTACAACAAAACCGGATAAATAACAGAAAGAACAAAAATATTTTTCTTTGTGTGGTTATAGTTAGTCAACAAGGTTTCATAACATACCTTTCAATATTGATTCATAACACTTTGGTGGTATACCTTCATCGTCTTATTTTTTGTGAATTATGCCAAAACTGAAACCATCATGTGAGGAAAACAATTGTTTGTTGGATGTATTTCTAGATTTTGTTAAGTAGGTAGTAAGTTTTTATTAATGTATATTATTGTTGTATTATTGTTTTTATTAGTAGTATTTTATTCAGTAATCTTTTGCTAAAGAGTTTAACTGACTGTAATTACATGGTAATGACTGTGTGTTATAAGCTTAGTGGTCTGATGATGTATTTTTGTTTCTCTCTGACCCTATACTTTCTCCTAGTTCCCCATCTGAACTATTTGGCAGGGATTCAAAACAGCTGTTCATCGACCTCGAGAGTGCTGAAGAGGCTTATTGAACTTAAGGGGATCAATAAATCAGAGACCTAGGCAGAAAATTATCAAGACATCATGATTAAACTGGTGAGTGTGTAAGACTTTGGTCTGGTGAAGCTTTCAACCCTTTAGTTTGATTTATTGATATTGTACTAAGAAATACAATACTCTGCAAAAAAGCCTTGAGCCACCACTTACTTTTTCATATTTTGCTTCCAATGAGCCAGACTTTGGTGTATTTTTTAAGTGCTTTTGAGCCATACTTCTCCAAGCTTTTTTTGGACATGGGCTGCTTTATGAATTATTTTCAGTCCAGTCCTTGTACACTGACCATTTTCAGAGGAGTGATGGTTTGTTAAGCCACTTAAACAGATTCATTTTTTGTTGTTGTACATATACAATGACAATAAAGCACTATTCTATCCACCACCAGATGAACAGTATCTGAAAGTCATGTCCTTAATAAATAGGAAATAAATCCAGAGAAGACTTGACATAGGACCTGGGAGATGCATTTGGCCCTTCAGTTGATCCATCTACTGTTTGCAGATCCCTCATGAGAAATGATCTCAGAGAAAGAGTGGCTGTCAAAAACAATTTATAAGAAAGAGAATCAGAGAGAAAAGACAGAGGGATACCAAACTACACAAGAATGGCACAGAGTGGCAACAGGTCTTATAAGGTGATGAATCCTAATTTGAACTGCTGTGTTCAAATCATTGTCATTATGTATGGATGAGGTCAAGAGAGAGGCATCAATACCCACACTGTGAGGTTAAAACATTATAGTTTGGGTCTGCCTTTCATCAACTGGTGATGGGAATATTGTCAAAATCGATGAAATTATGAACACAGAAAAGTACCATCAGATTTTACATTACACTCTGGAAAGCATCTGACTGCCACCAGCTTAATTGTTTTGCATGACCATGATCCTGAATACACTGCCATTGCAGTAAAAGTGTACCTGGATAGAAAAACATACAAATGACCACTATCAGTCATAGACTAGCCCCTGTAGCGCCCAGACCTCAACATTATTGAAGCAGTGTAGGTACACCTTGGCAACATGCAAAGCCTAAAGAACTATTCCTACAGACTACTTTAAGAAATGACAAGAAAATGCATGTAACAGAAGTGATTATACCAAATATTGAATTTCAGATGTGGTAGAATTGTGCATAGCTGTTCAAAACTTCAAAGACTTTTCTCATGAGTTCATTGAAATAAGTGTTTCTAATAGGCTATTTTGCAGGGGGGAGAAGAGGACAGAAATCTGTCGCAGGTATACAACTATATTGACGATAAATCAGAGATTTAACCTAGCAGAGCTTTAAATTAGACCAGCCACTTTGACAGATTTTTTTTTTTTTTTACCACTTATCTAGTTCTCTTGAAATCAGTGATTGAGGACTAGAAATAATATTGATTGGTCATTTCCCCAAATAAAATCCTGACCATTTAGAGTCAATGAGCCACCTCTCCGGCTGACTCTGCAAAAGACTAGAACAATAAATTTCTGCTACAGCAGATGGCGCTATGCACCGTTTACAGTGATTTTCTATAAGCTAATAAAACCAAAGAAGAAGACTATTTTTTTTTTAAGGAAGGAGCATTAATGAACAGAATTGACGTAGAATAGATGGTTAGTTGATCTAAGAAGCCGATTTATTCATAACTACTATTTTTTGTAAATAATACAATAATTACGTTAAACGTTTTCTGAAATTTCCAAGGCAATCTGTTCGGTGGTCAAATTTAGCGAGAAAGTCGCTAATTTGGCTGCGCTAATACTGTGGTCAAACCCAGAGCCTGACAGAGAGGATGCCAGCAGCAGAGGAGTCATATGGTGGGTTCGCATTACTCCACTTCAGTAGAATGTTGTTTAAATGGCAATTAAGAAGAATAGATTAGGCTTTCACCTAGGAAATATGTGCTAATTTAGCCACTGCATAGCATTAACTTAACACCGTTGTAACCTGTCGCTGTCTTTCCCCCACTTATATTTGACTCCAGCATCTGACTCCTAATGCTTAAAAGCCCTTAACCCCTTTTTAATGAATGCTACTTTAACATACATGCAGAAATACACAAATGTTTACAGCTCAATAATAAAGCCAAAATAAGATGTTTTAAAAGCTAAATGAACCTTGCCCTCTTGTATTAGTTATTACATGTATTATTATTATTGTTTTATCCTTGTTTACCACTGTTATTTGATAAATCACTATGCAAGGTTCTTCAGGTAAGGCCTATACTATATACTATCTTATTTACTATATTTATTTCCGGGTTACATAATTTATATCATCATGCTATTGCAGTTGTGATTGCCTGCTCTTGGGAAAAGAAAGAAAACAAAAAGTATTAAGAAGACACAAGTACTATCATTAGACTCCCATGATGCCTGTGACTGCATTAAAAAGAAGTATGGAAAACCTTGTGATAAATAAATTGTTTCACTTCTGTATTCAAGGCGTCAACAAAGTTGTGGACAACATATGCAGGATTTCTCCAGATCTGTTAGCAGATGTGGTGAGTGTATTTGTCCTTGGTTGTGTATGTTACTATACGGGTGGAAAAAAGTGGCAGCTAGGAAAACAGAGTAGACTTAAATAGTATTTACAGTGACAGCTGCAGACAACCCTCCTTCTGCAACTCTCCCCATTTCCGTTCTGGGTCTTTCCCATTACTTGAGCATCACGTACAGCTACTTGTAAATATAAGTCTTTTATTTAAATTGTTTTGGGGCTGTTTCATTAGTTTCACTGCCACAGGCTCAGACTGTATTATGAAACTCCGATAACTTAAACAGTTGTGCAACTTCAAAACACTGCCTTTATAACTTGCTACTGGAGGATGTTATTGTTGACCAAAATAGCGCTCATTTCAGGGCTATTAGCAACCACTGTGCACAAGTACCATAGGATGTGGTGTAGCTGTGGAGGCTATGCTGCAGTTCTGATAGCTAATCTTCAATAATCTCCACAGTGTCAGCACGTACTGACTTATCTTCAAGGGCAGAAGAGAGGAGTAGATTCAGCTGAAATTTCTGATGTGAGTCACCCTTTCTTTAGAATACATTTGACTTATAATAACCTATCCTCCCAAATTCCTCTTTTGAGACCTTTTCTGGGTTTTTTTTTTGTTTGTTTTTTTTGTGGGCAGAGATTTCAGAGAGCTGAAGTGAGACTTGATCATGAAGCTCTGCAGGACATGATCAGATTTCTCTTGCTAACATTCCGGTATTTTTCCCCACATTTCTTTTAAATTTTTTATAAAGTATGTAGTTTCTGAATTTGATAACTGTGCCTTCCATGTTCCATACATTTGTTTCTTACATAGCACACTTAAAAAGGTCAAATTATACATAAAGTAGTATGTTGTCCTACTATAGGCTGTGATAGTAGTGGGTTTTTTTGCTAGGTCAGCTGGAAAGAGCAACATCTCTGGGGATGAACTTGTGTCAAAGCTGGAAGAAGGCTCTACCAAGTGGACCAAAGCTTCCCTTCAGGTCTTGCATAAGTTGTGGAGTGAACATGGTGTGTCAGTCCACACTCAACAAGAGGCCCAGGCCATGCTCAGCATCGGTCAGGTTTGTCCAAGTTTAATGAAATAAAGTATATATATTCTGCCCCCCCTGAACATATAACTTCTCGTTTTCTCCTCTTCTCTTTCAAAACTGATGGAACTTTGTTTTGCCTTAGTTGGTGGACATGCAGTGGAAGCTTGGCATGGCAGTGAGCTCAGACACCTGTCGATCTCTCAACTCCCCATTTGTGTGTCTGCTGCTGAAGATTGTTGAGCCTTCAGGACAAATCTGTCAGAGGTCTTTTGAGATGACCATCCCACAGTTCCAGGTTTTGTATTTTTTTTTTTCATGTGAATGTAGTGTTGTTGGTGTTATTTATTCATGATATTTTATCCCTCTCCTACTTCTTCTTTCTGCAGAACTTCTACAAACAGTTCAAGGAGATGGCAGCTGTTATGGAGACTGTATGATTGTTAGCACACCTAAGTGCTTGTTACAGTTATACCAGGTTTATGTGCAACTAACG